TTCTTCGTGGAGGGCATGATGGACGAACGGCACAGGTAGGGCTTGTGGGAGGACGCTTGGGCTCTGGGCTGCAGGCTGACCGGCACAAGCGTGTAAGGTGTGAATGGTATTGTGGTGATGTTGGGGTTGACCGTGGGAAAGGTGGATGTTAGAATCACAGTTCTTACTCCCAAACATGCAATCGCAACCATCATCACACATGACTGGGCGCATTCCGACATGCTCTCTACAAAAACTACACCAACCATGCCGCGCTGCAATCAGACTACACTGCTCACATGCGGCTAAACCCTGTGGTGAATGCTCGGCATTCGTAGCGTCTACTTTGCGTCTCCCCAGCGGCTCCCCTTTTCCATGGCTCGCTGGGGAGTGTTGTCCCTACTCCCCTAGCAGACCGTTAAAGGGCACGCCCCTCACCTCAGCACCAGCCAGGAAGTCCCCCGTCATGGGCATCAACTGGTGTCCATTCGGTGCCTCCTGAAGGGACACCACTCTCGATGGATCCACATTCTGATAGATCACTTTGTTGCTCCGAAAGTCGATCACCGCGCCGAGGGCACGAAGTGCCTTCCGGGAGACAAGGATTGGCTGACCTGGGCTGTCATGAACATGTACTTCAAGGCTTCCCTGACACGGTCCCAGCATCATTCCCACCTTAGCCGTAGAGAGACAAGTCTTCCGTTGGCCGTTGCCGAATCGGAACACTGGCTTCCGCTGGGTATCCACTAGGATTTTGCTGTCACCGAGATCTCGAAGGTTCTTCTCTGCCACGGCCTCCAGAGCCTCAATCGACCCTAGCGAGGATGTTGCCCCACAATCAATCACTCCCATGGTGTGCTCTACCAGGTTGTTGTTGTCGTGGCCTTGCTCGGCGGGAGCATGGAAGGCTACCTCCTCAACATCGTCGGCTGAGAAGGCGAACTCGGTGGCCTCAGCAAAATTGGCTTGTTGGTTCTTCTCCCTTTGGGGGCACTCAGCAACTCGGTGGTTACCCCCACATCGGAAGCACTGGATGGCGCCCTTGCCCGAACCTCCCTTCGAGCTGGACCCACCTTTGCCGCCTTTGGGGTAGAACTGTCTACCGAGCTTGATCTCCTTTTGCCGCCATCGAGCTTCACGAAGGGTGGCCTTCTGAGCGTTGATCACCGCAAGAGCGTCTTCCGCACGTTCCTGCTCGAGCATGTAGGCCTCTTTCGTCTCCTCATCGAAGCCGTCAAGGTCTTGGAAGGAGTCCTCGGCAGCAAGCGCTTCATCCTCATAGTCCTCAGAGACATAGTAAGACGTTCCCATCTTTGCCTTGTCCCTGCGTGCCAAGTCATCATCCGACCACTGTTCACGGAGTGCTCGTCCAACAGTTGTGGTGCTGAACTCGCCCCGGATCGCGGCCAGGATGTTTGCCCTCTCATGGGCATCCAGGCCTGCGCGATTGAGAAGAAGAAAACCTGCAAGAAACTCTGGCAGGAATGGCTCAGCACTCTTATCCCATGAGTCCGGCGGCTCGTGCTCTTGACTTTTCCAGGAATCTGACCAGTCAGACCATGCCGACCAGTATCCACCTGACCAGCCCGACCACCCAGACCAGGAATTTCGGCGCCAGCTGTTCCACACCTCGTCTTGCCCAGCTTCTTCTTCTCCATCTGCATCTTCTGTCGTCTCGGGATCATCTGTTCCATCTCCACCTTCTTCGTGGCCAGTCTCCTGGCCAACCTCCGAAGTCCTTCCGGAAGTCCGACCTGAAGGCACAGAATTTGTTGTCCGAGACCACCACTGGCGAACTGGTGGACCGTGACTGAGGCCGCTTGCTGACGGTTTCCCACCGTACTTTTTCTGCACTTTTCGCGTGGCTTGGGATGCTTCCCACAGAGCCTCCGCATGTCTGGCTACCCATTCTGTCATTGTTTCGCCTTTCTTGCGTCTAAGGTTGTAGAAGAATTTCATGATGAAACGTGAGGCTTCTACTAAAGTAGGTTTTGCCAGGAACGACTCCAAGAACTCCAGCAGCGTGTATGCCCCCCTAGGATGTGCCAGCCACTGAGGGTCTTGCGTCGTTCTGTTGCGGATCGCCACCTTGGCCACTCCTGTCAGCTCCTTTTTTGCCAAGCGAGGACCTGCCAAGTAGCGTTTCTTCACTTCTAACGTCATCATGTACTGAAGGGCTTCCTCCCTGTACATGGGAAGAAGTTCTGGTTCCCCTGCAAATTGGGGCACTCCATCCGACGACCTTTTGATGGTCATCTCCATGCTGTCGTGTTTGCTGCTAAGCTAGCACGACTACACCACGGGCTCGAAAGAATCGTGTTCACACCAGGACGGGCGATGGCCTGTCCCTCAAGACACAGCAGCAACCAGGCTAGCCTGCTACCATGAAGATTGATCGATGACGCTTCGGTCTTTTCCTACAGCCTAGGGGGGCTCCAAGCTCGATGACTGCGGAGTGATGTACAAGTTGCCATGCAATTTGCACAGAATACTTACCTTAAATCTTGCATTCACACTCGGCTGCAAGATGGAATGGCCATTTCCGTGAAGACTGGCTGTGGCCCCACTCAATAATGAAAGCAACCGCCCAATCCCGATAGCATGATCAGGGCGACACACTGAACCCTTAGTTCATTCCATGGCTTGCCATAGTGCTGTTCGAAATAACGAAGGTCCTCTGAGGTGAACCTGAGCTTGGGGCTTCCCTGGCAGGAAATAAATGCATCTCTGAACGACTTGAACACCTGCTGGAACAGTGAGAGTTCATATGAAGATGCATGTTGATTGCTACCTCTAAACTTGTATGCTGATGCATGGCCATCACCGCCTATGACATCTACCTGATAATGTCTGCCGTTGAACACAACATCTCGCCATTCAAACTTTGTTGTTCAAGTGGAAAAAGCAGCATCGGACTACATGCATGCCACACTTCTTTTGCTGGGTTACTCGCCTCAAGGAGTTGCTTAAGAGCTTCCTTGTCGTGGGACAAGCCTGCTGTTTCGCAATCTTCGCAGCGAGGTTCATCCCGAAAAACAAGCCTCAAAGATGGCATGGCTCAATGGAGACTCCTTCTACTTCTTCACAATTTTGGTGCCAGCAATATGCTTTGCAAATGACACTCCTGCTGACAGGTACATTCTGCAGTCCCTCTCGGATCAGACGAAAGCAAGGAAAAGGCCTTGCACTCCGCTGCGTGACTCGCGTGGTAGCCGGTTTAGCCTGGTTCCATCGACGGGAGAATTAAGCCCAGGGGCGAGGTTGTTGATCCAAGGCATTGCTGTGGTGATTGTTCGGCAGCACTTTAGTGGGTGTGCTCATTGGAGCCTGTTGGCGCAAGATGACGGGGAAGTCCACCAGCAAGCGCACGAGTGATGGTGTGCCCTAATATGGGGGCGAGCCCGAGTTGCTTCCCCTTTACAAAGAGGAAGCTCTGCAGTACCTTATGACTGTAGAAACCAAGAAGAGGTACCTGGTGGGACCTCTTTTGGTGAAAGAGCTGCAGGGAGTTGCCAAGGTGGCATTTCGAACAAAGACGACCCAGGATCCCCAGTGACTGTCGCGTCTGAGAGGGACATATCAGCTGCTGGAGTTCCTGCAACAGTTCCTTGCAAAGCCCACATTGGTGGAATCATCCAGGTGCATCATGAGATTCTTCTACAACCTTCGGCGGCGCCGCAGGGAATCCATGACGGAGTGGATCGCCCAACATGCGGAAGCCTTATGGGAGGCCAGCCAGGCCATGAGAAAATTGCAGCGCGAGTTTAGGGGAAAAGGGCGTGGCTATCAGTCGAGGGCTGCTCCAGACATCTCCCCTAAGACGTCTGCAAGCCAAGGAGACACCGGAAGCAATGGAGACCCCACCGACGAGGCCAATGAGACAGAGCCAGAAGGGCCTCTTGGACAGGATGGTCAACATCATGGTCCGATAGTCCGTGGTCCGAAGCTTCCGGAAGTGCAAAGAGTATGCTGGCCCCACTTCTTGGGATGCGAGTGAAGAGACCTTCATCCCGGATTTCCTTGCAGGATTTCTTCTCCTCCAAAGCGCTGGCCTCGACACGACCGAGCAAGCAAACATCTTGGCAGCCATCAGGGGTGAGTTCGGAATTTTGACCGTTGCCAAGGCCCTTTGATAACAATGGTCGGACGAGGACCTCGCCAGGCGTGACAAGTCCAAGATGGCGGCCGCCTACTTCAGCGACGGGACAGACGACGTGGAGCTCGTCGCGAAAAGGTGGCTTCGGCGTCGAGAATCTGGAGGCCACGGACCAGGAGGCCTTCTACATGGAGCAAGAGCATTGAGGAGGCCAACCCCAAGCCTTATCAAAGGGGACGTGGCAGTTCTCAAGGACGAGGAGCTGGAAAGGGCATTCAATGTTTTGGATATCGCATTCCATGCCTTCGGAGGGCATGATCCCGGAAAAGATCAATGGCGACCCGGTGCTTGAGCAGTGCGTGGGTGTTATCGATTGTGGGGCAACAGCTTCGCTTGGGAGTGCAGAAGCCCTCGAAACCATCGCCGTGGCCAACTTGAAGAGCGAAGCCAACAGCAACATCGTGATTGACACCTCCAAGCGTCCCACATCTCGGTTCAGAGACTTGTAGCTTTCTACTTGCTCATGTGCTGGCTCATGATCCCATGACTGCTATGAATCTGCTGCCCAGCCATCATCAGGCTGGCTGGTTCGCTTGCCACCGCCAGGATTCTTCAATTTGCGGAGACCAATCCTCTTGGCCATGATGTTCCTGATAGTGACCCTTCTTCTTGCCGCGTGATTTGAAGAATTTTCTTCCACCACGGCCTCCGCCGCAGCTTTTGGATCCGCGTCCCTTGCCTTTGCCTTTTCTCGATCCGTGGCCTTGAAAGCCACGCTGGAACCAGGATTCATTCTGTTCATTATAAATGTTGAGTGCATCCTCGTGTGCGTCCAGAAAGGCTTCTGCTCCGTCATCTTCAATTTCAGCCTAAAAACCGAAGGAGCCATCAAGTTCTGCTTCATCTAGAGCGATGAAGTTCCTTCTTCCACCATTGTTGGCGTTGTTGAGGAGCGGATTGCCCACGGCTGTTCTTGGATTGGACATTTCGATGAACATACCTCTGAGAGTGCCGGCGTCCAACCCTGTCAAATCAATGCCATTATGACGTGCTATTATGCTGGTAAGCGACATCCCTGATCAAAAGTCAGTTCTGCATGTGATACAAAGAGGAGTCCTGTCAAATTCTTCGTCAGCAGCACCTCATGCGCTTGTCTTCGTCTGTCGTTGACAGCGGTCAGAACTTGGGTTGAGGACATCTCTCGCTGTTCATCCCCATGTTTGTGTATACAATCCCTCTTTTTCTTCATGTGCTGGATCATTGATGGGAGTCAATGTATCTTCCCATGCTTCTTCCAAACTTTTCAATTGAATCTGAAATTTTGACATCTATTTCATAAGATCAGACGAACCGCGTCGTAAATTCATGAACTGTTGAAAACGGTAACACTCCCTTTCACCAAGAAAGGGGCCTCATGGTACCCTTGAAACAAGCCACGCCATCTTGCTTGCTCTTCAGCTGATCCCTGTCCAGGATTTTCTTGTAGATGGTGGCGTCGCCTTCAAGTCTGTTCCTGAAGGCTGGTCCTCTTCTGTCATCGTCCAGCTCAGTTATGTCACGCCAGTTGTCTATCGCATCTTCAAATGCAAACCATGATGTCTTCCCATCGAATGAAGGTGGCATTTTTGTCGTCACCTGGGAAGACTGCGACATACGAGTTATGTCACACGTTGACATTGTTTGCGTGGTATATGCCTCATCATAAAGGTCCTCGTCGCGCATGTCAGTGTAAAAGTCATCTGCCATGGCTTTTCTAAAGGCTACTGCCGGAGCTCTCTCCTTTGGAGCCCCCTGCGCGGCGGGGAACCTGGGGTACCTCATGGAGAGAGCTCCGCTACCATGTTGAGATTGACCCGAACGTGCACTACCCCTCCTGCGGCGTACAGTAAACAGGCGAGCGGGTGTCTCTTTTCCTTTCCGGGCTACTCTCGGGTATTGATTCCCTAGAACTTGGAGAGCGGCAACAACAACATGCAGTAGTGTCACAGTGTCATATCAACCGTACATGGTTTGGCAGCAAAGCAACAGGACTATAACTACATCAGGGGGTTTGGGGGGCTGGGCAAAGGAGCCAAAAGGGCCGGTTTGGCATGACCTTCAGGCGGGATCAGCCGGAGGCAGGGGGGGCGGGCTAGGTCTGGAGGGAGGATCAATGAGAGGGCCAGGGGACGGCCATGGTGGGATCGAAATTGCAATCATTGATGAGCATGTGGGAACTGGCGACTTGGGTTAGGCAGAACGGCAAGCACTTGAAAAACAAATTTCCCACATGATGTCAGAGTCCCCATGGCCAGCATCAGGGTCCGGCTCACAGAAAATGATTTTGGGCCAAGTGCTGGCATGTCAGGAAAAGGCTTGAGAAGGAGACCACCCGTGCGGGGAGTTTGTTGAAAAGTGCCCCCATTGCTCCACTGTCTTATATTGTTCCGGGGTGTTCAGAGTGGTGTGCCGCGCTAGAACACGAATGTGTTCGCTAGTGGCACGGTTATGTTGCCTCCATGACGACATGAGCGATCGGGATGCTGTGACATAAGTCCACCACCACCACTTGTAGGTAACCAGCGTGTGATGTCAAAACATTCTCTCTGCTGTGTGAAGTGCTCAGGTCGAGATGGAAGATGCTCAGGCTGTGGAGCAGTTAGAGGAACACGGAAAGCACATAACCATCTTTGATATGCAGCTAGGCGGATGAAGTCTTGGAAGCCGAGCGCTGCACTTGGAAGAATTTCGAAAATGCGATTTGCGGCCCAAAGAAGAGTCTTGGAGAGGAAGCTACAATCCGAGCTGCAATCGATGAGGCTGTGCA